GGCTAGAATCTGGAACCAACTTCCAAGAGAAGTGGTGCAGGCTCCTACCCTGGAGGTCTTTAAGAGGAGGCTGGATGAACACCTTGCCGGGGTTGTTTGACCCCAGTACTCTTTCCTGCCATGGCAGGGGGTCAGACTTGATGATCTGCTCAGGTCCCTTCCGACCCTAGAAACTATGACACTATGAAACAAACTCCCCGCCCCCCATAGAGAGAGCACGCCAGCCTTGGCCCAAGCTATCTGTTACTGCTGACCAGGGAGGTGTGCTCTAGCACCCCTTGGCTTCTGACCTAGGCCACTGCAGGCATGCGGCTGCATTTCCAAAATCAAAATGAACATCCATTCAGTTGCTTATTGATTCAATCTACGCAACTTCAACTAACCTGCAAAGATTGAATGGATTTAGCCTCAGGCTCTTAACTACTTAGCCTAAAAGTTCATCCTTTCATACCCCCAAGCAGTCATTCAAAGAGTCTGCTGCTCAGCATTGTAAAACATTGATATTACTCAGATTTGTTCACAGCTTTCTGTTCACCTGCTGTGCACAGTAGGTTTGCAAGAAGATCACCTTTAGGGGCTAGGAGAAAGTGGAGTACCTGCATTAGTGGTGACCCAGAGCTGATGTTCAGTCCTTTTGTAATATTTTCAGTGATTATTTTTGACACACAATTTCTCTGCCTGAGGCTGAGGTCCTGACCCTGAAAATCTATGAAATCTATGAATGTGCAGCAATATTCCAGAAGAGCCAATCCTTTACTCTGGCTAAGGGACTCACTGAAGAATTGCTTCTAGGAACCTCCCTCACTGAGAGACAACTTTACCACCACCATGAAAACGCTTCTGGAAAGACACCAAGAAGCTCTATGGTGATAACGAGCACCAAAAAACAGTGGAGGGATGCCTGGGCGAATACCAGCTTGCCACAGAAATACATAGTCAACAACCCTGCAATTCTCCAGCCAAGATTTGACCTATCAAGAAAGATTTGGTTCTCCCTGAATCACATCTAGACACTTAATGGAAAATGTGGACACCTACCCCATAAACAGAGAATTAAAGAGTCTGGGTTGCAATTGTCGTGTGATTTTTCAGACAGTACAACACATTGTAAATGATTGCCCAATTAAATCTTTTAATGGCAACCTAAAAAAAAAAAAAGAAAATCAATCCATGCAGCTACCCCTGAAGCAGTCGAATGGTTATCAAATTTAGATATTAATCTATGAATGTTGTAATCCTAAAATATCATACGAAAGAAGATCACCCAAGTTACATCACAGCATTTAGGAATATCAATTGCCTGACTGAATCCCCGCATCATAACAGGGAAGGGCCCTGTACCAAATCTGGCATTTGGGGCTGGTCTACAGGCCCAAACCAGACCAGCCTGAGATCTAGCACTCAAGGCCAATCTTGTACAGTACATGCCCCAGACCAACCCCACAAAGCATACGGAGCACAGGACCAGTCAAGGGCACATACTGTATGTGGCACCTATGCTAGCCCAGACCTGCATGCTACAGCTAGTCTATGGCTCAATCCAGACCAGCCCTGGATCCAGTGTGCACGGCCAGTCCAGCACACGTAGTGCACGAAACACATGCCCCAGACTGGTCCCACTCACTGTATGCAGCACACATGCTGGCTCCAGCCCTAGCACTGTGTGCAGGCCATGCCCAACGGGCTCCACTTGCACCATGCAGGCCTGTGGCCAGCACGTGCTGTATACAACATGCCAGTCTGCAAACCTCCAACACACACTCTAGGGGCAAGATACCACAAGGGACTCTGCGAGGGCCTGCCTAACATCTTCCAGGGCTACATAGCAACCACCACCATTTAAGTATTGTACTTCCTGACCTCTCACACTTGGTCTGGAGACTGTGGGTTGAGAGCACGTTTGAGCGCATTCAAACGAATGCACTGCTTGTAGACAAGGATGGAACAATTGCGCTTGCTGCTCAAAACCAATGCAGAGCACAGATGCAGAGATGCCCACGGCCACTAGGAACAACTCTGGACCTAGCAGCACCGAACTCATAGGCCTGCAGGGCTGGGAGGGACCTCATGAACTCATCTAGCCCAGCCCCCTGCTCGAGGCAGGATCATCGCTACCCAAACCACTTCGGCCAAGCATGCGCTGGAGCAGTGCTTCTCAACCGGGGAGCCACCGCGCAGGCTCTGGGGGCAGGTCAAAGTGGGTGCAGGCTGCAGGGAGAGCCCTAAAGTGGGCAGGAGGCCGCCCCACTCCGCACCCAGCCAGAGGCGCCGGGACAGCTCCGCCTGCCCCGCTCGCCTCCGTGCCTGCAGCAGGGGCAGAGCCGGAAGGGCCGGGCCGGTGCCAGGGGCGCTCCCAACCGAGGCGGCCCACCCCGCGCAC